TATATATATATATATATAGTGTATATATATATATAGTAATATATATATTGTAATTTATATATATATATATATATATATATATATAATAAATTATATATTAAAGATCACTTTATATTACGCTGTTTCATTTTTATTCTGTCTAGTGCATTTCAGTGTGTCTACCTATCCATCATCTCGGCTTCCCTCTGTCCTATGCACACACACACAAATATACACATGCCCAGGAATGGAATCACGAGCAGGGAGAGGGCAACATTAAACATATGATTTCATTGGACTGGCATCATTGCATACTGTTACTAGTTTTGTTGTACAATTAAAAAGCCCTAAGTTGCAATGCCATGTGTGCCTCTGTGCGAGAAAGCACATTTGAACGTAATGAGACTTATTAAATACAGATGGTCCTCAACTTGCAACCATTTATTTAGTGATTGAAGCTGCATCCTTGAAAAAAAGTGCTATTTTTCACACAACCCAGTGCAGCACTGGATCAAAATTCACATTTGGCAACTGGCTCATCTTTATGACAGTTACTGTATCCTTAACCGTATTACTATTAACACTGCAGTAATTCACTTAACTGGTAAGAAAGGTCATAAAAGGGGGTAAAACTCACAATTGGCTCAATTGTCATAAGTCAAGGACTTCCTGTAATGCACTGGAGATGTTTGGCAGCTGCAGTGTTAATAGCTGAAGGACAAAAAAGCAAGTTGGGTAAAGCTTAACAAGCTTCTTGTTTTGTTTTACTCTTTTAATATGCCACTGCAATTACGTGACAGTGGTTCCTAAAACTGAAATGCAATCTCAGTTCAGCTGTGCAACATGATAAAAAACAGTTTCAAATGAAGAGGATGGCAATCCTTCACTACTCATAGGCTTTAAAGTTTTGAAAGCCCTGTTAAAAGGCCATTTTGAGCAGATTGCCTAATTAGTCTTGGTGGAGCCAATATTCCTACCTTCCCTCATACAAAGGCCAGACCTGAGCTCTGCCCTCCTGCACAATGTTGCTTCATCTCACATGGTGATGGGATGGGATCTTAAGCAGATCCTCTCTCAGCCTGAAAAGCATAGCCATTATGGACAATATTTACTGGGTAATTGATCATAAACAATTTTAAACCATTTAAGAAAACTTGATATTTAAAGGATGTGTACACATTCTTTCCTTGGGAAGCTGGACATATTCTAATGAGATTGATGGGGGAGGATAGCTGCAGTAACTCCTGCCTGCACTCCCTCAGTTTTAAGAGCTAATCTTATCAAGTATGATTTAATATGTTGGTCATAAAACTCAATCCATCTGGTGGTCATGAAAGCTGAGGATTCTATATATTGTAGACCCATCTCTGTAGAGAGGACATCAGCTTGTGAAGATTAATATTTTAAAATGAAAATGCCTCCATTTTTAAAAATTATTGCCTAACTCACAGGTGTCAAACTTGCCATACCATGATGTCATATGACATATTGTGACATTTCTTTACCTTTGCAGAGCTGGGGTGCATGCGGCCTGCGCATGACACATCTGGCCTGTGGACTGCCAGTTTGACACCCCTGGCCCTAACCCAGGGATGTCAAATTCCTATTATGGAGGTGTCACATGATGTATCACAATTTCCCCACCCCCTTTGCTAAACTGGGTGTGGGTGTGGCCAGTGTCTGACGCATTTGGCCCCTGGGTGGTGGTATTCAAGTTCTCACCAGTTCTGGAGAACAGGTAGTGGAAATTTTGAGTAGTTTGGAGAACCGGCAAATCCCACCTCTGACTGGAGATTTTACAGTATCCTTCCCCTGCCACGCCCACAAAGTCATGCCCACAGAACCTGTAGTAAAAAAAATTTGAATCCCACCACTGCATGGGCCATTGGTTTGATAGCCCTGCCCTAACTGATTAAGTCCACATATTTAAATCACTTAAAGGATTATATGCAAGATGGTTGTTTCTCTTTTAAAGCTGTATTTAAAGATGCAAACAATTCAAAAAATAAAATGAACAGCCAAAAAAAATCTCAAAATGGACATCTCTTATCAAAGCCATCATATTAATTCATATCTTACACAATATGGTTTAAGGCAGTTATTTAACAGTGAGTGCAGGTGGGAAATTAAATGTACATAGTTTATGCTAATCTTCTAATTGGGAAAGATGTATGTATGAATTAGTGATTGTACAGCCTATACCCCAATAGGCAAATAACAGAAAAACACAGTAAATAAAAATGAGAGAAATTCTACAATTTCCTGTCCTCAGCCTATAGTGTTAAAGCTGAGATGAGTGAATAATATTGCTGTATTGAAGACTGGCTGGCAACAAGAGCGCAGAATTGTGATAACAAACTTATTTATTTATTAGAATTTGTCAAAAACGAGAACAAGAATAAAAGAATGAAAATACAATAACAGGGATGACAGGCATGTTAGTGCACTTAAGCACACCCCCTCCTCTAACCACTTAAGTATGGTGTAAGGTCCATGGAAGCCAATTTGTGACTGAAACTGAAAATTTGTAGCTGAAACAACTGAATCAGGTAGAGCATTACAGATTTTGACAACTCTTATAGAAATTATATTTTTACAGTCAAGTTTAGATCGATTTACATTGAGTTTAAAGCAGTTGTTAGCACACGTATTCTTGCCATTAAAACAAAAAAAGTCATTTACATTACATATAGTTTTGTATGCAATACATAGGTCTGACTGCAAGCGAAGCAGTTCTAAGTTATCCAAACTGAAAATTTCAAGCCAAGTAGCATAGGGAATTCTATTGTGTACAGAAGAGTGCAAGAGTTTTCTCATGAAATACTTCTGAACCCGCTCAATTGTACTGATGTTAGGTATGTTCTTAACATTTTCTATAATGGAAATTCACTAACACCCATCCTTGGAAATGTTGCTTATATTTTAAAATCTTTCAATCCACTATCTCACATTCTGTAATTTAACCTTTGTTCTTTAATGCCTGAAACTAAATTACACTTTGTTTTCATTGAAAACAACATGAAAAGTCATTAATATATTAGTACTTTCTGTGCCTAAGTAGCAATATCTGCTGGGGGTGGGGGTGGGATATTAAACTTTTACAGGCTTCAAATTAAATTAAATACAGGCTGTTAATTAAAATGTAAGTAAATCCTGGAACCACTAATCAAGAAGCAAACTTGTAGTGATAGAAATTTGGTTGTATTCAAGTGAATTCCAGCTCACTCCCTTTAATCTCTTATGGAAACCATATTAAGTTTTATATAGAACACTATTTGAAAATCCCTGATCTACTCAGCCTTAGATGATCTTGGAACAGTTACTTGTGGGGTTGGCTCTGTAAATCTTGGAAGGGAGATTACCAAGATATTATATGGCTGATTTGGAAAATAATCCAAAAGAAAGGTGGGGACAAATAATGTCTATATTGTTGCCAAGACAATTAAATGGATGAGTTGATCATCAGGAACTGAGCTTGATTCAAATGAATATTTGGGATTGGATGATATTATCTGTGGCTATGGTAAGAATTGATAATTTTGAGCATGGTTACCTATTCATTAAAATACAATGAATGTAGGACCCACTTAATACCTCTATTCTGCCAGGTGAGAGACTTTTTTTTTTTTAGGCGATGGTGCAGGTTAGGGCTTCTGAGCTGAAGTTAAGGACTTTTAACCATTAACAAGCAGAATGTGCAAACACAATCATTAAAGGGCAAGGACACAAATTGTGAGCCTGCAATTTGACTCTCTAAAGATGGCCAACTTGTAAGATGATTTTATACCCAGGTTTATTTTTCTTGTCATGGGGAAGCAAGTATCTCTGGCTGTCAGCAGGTTGGCTCAACAGAGTAAACCAGAAATAAGCAGAGCAGAGGGAGTGGTGTGGTGTGTGTGTGTGGGGGGGGGGGGTGTTAAGATGGCATGCCATTTTTCCCTGTACCATTTTTTTTTTCTATTAACCCAGCCATCATGAATATTTAAGTGTTATTCCACATTGTACACATTGTAAACCACTGAAAATCATCAGACTGCAATGGGGGCATAAGTTTGATAAATAAGCAAGGAATATTGCTGTAATGAGTGACATGCTACTACTGTGTAAATGAAAATGTTTTTCTAATGCAACTCTCCTTCTGGACCGAGGCTGGATTGTGTTCTGCTCTGGATTTATTGAAAACAAACACACACAAAAGTCTCCGCCTCTTGCAGGAGAGACAGAGAGGGAACAAACTCGACAATTCCACATATTATCCCGGTCAAGGGGCTCTCCTGCTTCTTCTTAGGCTTCAGGAACCTGGACTCAGAACAGGCTGAAGAGAGGATCAGTGACTGCCATGTAGTCTATAAACCTACAACCAAAAAAACCCCCAAAAAAACAAATGGAATTGTTAATTCCCTTTCCTGTTCCTAGTCTCTAGATAGAACCAGTAAAGTGCACTACCTGTTTAACAGAACGAAATATAACCGTGGAAAGAAAATTTGTTCTGCAGAATACCTCCGTACTGTTTTAAATCTAAGCACCAAGCAATGACAATCATCTTTGGGCTAATGAAGACTGTACCCCGCAAATCAATCCCATCCAAAGAGGACAAGCGGTTTCACAGAGTTTGCTCCTGAGCGACCCAAATCTTTAAACCCCCGAGCCCCCAACCTCGCCGTACTCAGTCCAGCAAAGGGCGAAGAGCTTCCCCGCAGGCGCGCTACCTCTTTAAGGGCTCCCGGGTGTCATGTGATCCCTTAACCCTCCACTCCACCACCGCTGGCCCGACTCGGCTCATTCCGACTCGCTGAGCCGATGGGGTCGGATCGGGGCGGAAGGTGTTTTTAAAGCCCGGTGCCAGCAGCTACTCGTTCATTTGCTACGGTAAGACATATTAGACCGCAGTCCGCCTCCTCTCCGGAGGAAGATATCTGCCCACTTGCAAGGACAGCTGATGAGGTGGGAGTCATGAGGTCTCAAAAACAATGTCCGTCCCCGTCCCGTTCCCCCCCCCCCACTTTTCGCAGTGCGCCTCCATCTCACCGTAGCACGATGAAAAGTGCACGTGTATGTCTATGTACACACGCACGAGTATATCCTGATGGGAATCAAGATTGGCAAACTATACGGGTGCACCTTACTATGCCCCCTGGCGGTCCTTCCGCGCAAGGTGCACTCGGTGACCGCTGTTTGATGGTCCGGTTTAACAAAACAGACTTGTTGCTGGTTTGGGCTGCTCCCGAGAAGGATTACGTTTCAGTTTCTTAGTTGTGAGAAGAATCGGGCATATTTATAGGGGTTCGTACTATGCTTCTCCCTTAAGCTGTATTCGTACAACACGATGAGTTAGATCTAATGAATTGATTGTACGATACAATATATTAAGCTAAATGTGGTCAATTTTGGCCTTTACTAGAGCTGGGGAGGGGGCTTGGCCACTTTTGATGTGTGCAAATCTGGACTTTTTATTAGTTTATGGTTAAGTGTCTTATCTAAACCTGGAAAATGGGCTAGTTAAGTAATCAGATTGAGCAGGTTGTGAGAATGTAGGTTTAAGGTAGCAGGAGCTGAGATGTTATCTCATCCAACATTCACCTTAAGCAATAGCAAAATATAGTACATTTCATGCTGTTTTGTTTATCAATGTACAAATACTCATGTAAATCTTAAACTAGTTTAAGTAGGTATATAAGCAATGTTGATTTTGTGAGAGTTCTAGGTCTGCTAGAAGTCTAGTTTCCTTTTAAAAGAATGAATGCAATATTATTCTCTCAGCTTTCATGCAAAAAAAAACACAGGAAGTCCTTAATTTTGGGACAAAGTCCCATCCAATTATACTATGGGTCTTCTCAGTTTCTTATGAAAGATTAGGGTAATTGTACATCTAGAATCCATCTGTTTTGATGTAATTATTTTAGTCTACAATTTAAGTTCTATAATTGTGTGGAGGTAATCCATGCTTATGACCATTTGAAGTTATGACACTCCCCCTGCCCCCCAAAGAACCTACTTATGACTCTTTGAAGGTACAGATGCTATATTCCCCCCTGCCTATCTTCCTCCCCCGCTTCTGCTCTGCCAGGTCAGCTCACTGATGAATTAAATTTATGAACTTAAGTTTACCAGTACTGTGGCCCTGATTCTTAACTAGATTTCTCTAAAAATATGAAGTTTCTTACACCTGTAAGTCACATATTATACTGATACAGTTTCAGATAAAGGAAAGGAAGTTAGATCATCCATTTTAGACTAGATGGAAGAACTAATTCTTTGTTGCTCACTGAATGCTTACTTGGTCATGGGGCTCCGCACCTGTGGATGCCTTGTCACCTTTATCCAAGGTAATGTATCTTCTGGCTTGATTGATAGATTTTTAGGCTGCCACCAACCAATATCTTGTCCACAAGTTAGTGATACCCTGTATTCTTGATTGGGGTCTAGAAAAGAGAGTAAATCTTCTAATTGCTTGGAAAAAGCTTAAAATATGTAGGGAAGGCAAGGGTTAGGTTAATTTTCTCTAAAGAAAATTGCCTTTGACCAAGCAGGACTTTATTATTTGAATAATAATAAAGCCTCTTCCTCCTGCTATTTCTTATTTAACTTTATTATTCCCTGGAAACCTGAGGGCTATTCTTTCCTGTATTTTGTCAGGCTTGCTAAACCTAGCCTGGAATCATTAATACTTTCCTAGTACTTAATATGATGGTTTCATTTATTTTAAACTGTTGGCTAAGAATTAGTATTCAACCTAGTATCTATGAGTAGCTTTAAAAGATGGGAGTGCCTGGTTGACCTCTTCTGGTTTGGAATCTAAGAATAATCAGGCCTGATTAGTATTTGGATAGGAAACTACCAGAAAATAGGAGAGGTATGGAGGAAGACAATGGTAAAACAATGTTTATTCCTCTGTCATGAGAACTTCATGGATATGTCATGAAGTCATCAGGAATTGAGCTCAAGTCAAAGGAGACTATTGCAGCTGATTGCTACATTATTTGATCATCAATTAATTGGAAACAAACGTCAAAGTGAAGGTTTTTGCTTCTTTTCCATACTACCCAAATAGCTGACAGTGAATACAGAAGGACCAAGCTATGAGGCAAGGCTTTTGTGACTTGCTCTCCTCATCCACTGCAGGAAACCCAGGGACCATCAGGTTTTCTTCTGGTTCAGCCCACATAGCATGCTCTTGAACTATGTGCTCCCTATCCATGCTGTTGCTCTTAAACCAAAAGACTTGAAGTATATTGTAAATTGTGAGTACGGTTACCCCTCTGCAATGTATTCCCTGGGGGAACACAGACCCAGCAGCCCTTCCAGGCATTATGGGGTTTTTTCACCCATGGCCAATATGCTGCACGATCACAAATGATGCCAGTTGTGATTAAACTTCTAGTGAATCATAGGTTCCTCTATTCCTGCTGTGAGTATTTCTGCATTTATTGAAACTTCGATTTAAACCTGACTCTTGGTGCTTCTTCACCTACATTTCTTGAGCCGTTTCCGTCTGATAGCCTCTTGATATTTCTCATGGCTGCCCTGGTGTTCAGTGTCATCACCATATCCAAATTGTCCTATGGGTGGGAGCTTTGGGTAGAAAAGTTCCAATTTGGGAGGGATTGTTCCCACTGGAGATGGACAGAAAAAAAATGTCACTCCAGAAGAAAGCAATTCTCGGACAAGATTCAGAGCAAGTTACACTCAAAAAAATTCATAATACTGAACTATTCATAATACTTAACAGTGTTGAAGGTGCAGTATATAATTCCATTTCTTAAAGAATGATTAATAAGAGACAGCCTGGAAAACCTGTTTATATCATTACTCTGATTACTGTTTAAAGGCATTTTAAAATGTTAATTATAAAACAAAGATTACAGCATCATTATAGCAGTAAGTTTTTGGAATGCATAAATTTTAACAGAAAGACATATTTGTCTGAAATTAAGCCTAGTATAGATATTTGCTCTTCAGATGTCTGGATGCAATACATCAGATTGCAGTAGCAGAAAATATACCCGAAAAATTGCCTGTGTGTACCTGTAATCTTGAGGCAAACTCATGGGTTGAGGAGAAATACTGGTTAAAATCTGTAATTACATTTAGTCATGTTGTTCCACATGTGCGTGAAATATTAACTCAAATTGGTGGTTAATTAACAGGATCCACTATAGATAAGCTGGTCTATACAATATCATTTTCATTGAACAAAGCCGCTTATCTGGCAGACCCATAATCTAAAATTTCACAACTTTTTCTGAGGTAATGTATATATATATATCCTTGATTGTTGCACCAGTCCAAATGTGGAAGGTAGCTATACAGTGTTTCCTCAAAAATAAGACTTATCCTGAAAATAAGGCCTAGCTTGATTTTTACACGTGCCTAATATAGGTTTACCCCCAAAATAAGCCCTAGTTGAGATCCCGCCCACTCCGTCCCACCATCTGGTTGTACAAGGTAGCGCAAGGTGCATGTGTAAAAATTAAGCTGGGGAGGTGAGTAGGTAGAGCTGCCCCACAAGCCCCGCACCCACTTACTTTAGGACTGCTACAGCCAAGCCTCCCACACCCCAACAGCTGTCATGCTGCTGCTCAACAGCTGTCATGGCTGCTCACAGCCGGATGCCATGCAGCGCATTGTGCTGGTGCTGCTGCTTGCTGCAGGAGGTAGCACGGCACATTGCGCCGGTGTTGCCAGTTGTGGCAGGACACTATGTACTGCATCGCACTAGTGCTGGCCTCCTGCCACAAGAGGCAGCACCGGCACAATGAGCCATTTGGCATCTGTCCGCAAGCAGTCACAGAAGTCAGGCCGTGGTGCGACAGATGTTGGGGTGTGAGAGCCCTGGGCTGCAGCTGTCTTAAGGTAAGCAGGTAAGACATCCCCCCAAAATAAGACCTGGTGCTTGTTTTGGGGCCCAAAAGAAACTAAGACCAGGTCTTATTTTCAGGAAAACACGGTATGTATGATAGCAACATATTCACAATGAAAAACTGAGATTTGTGTTGAAGACTGAAACTCATCCACTTTCCCGTTCACTAAAAATATTTCAGTGCACCAGTGTATGTATAAGTGTGTGTGTGTACATGTAGCATTACATATTAGAATTTCAAAATTGTTATTCCTTGGGCCTAGGAATAACAATTTTACCAATATAATTGGATTGATATTCTCTTTGCTGAAATCCCACCTTTTAAAACATGTCATGGAGATGCAAATTATTGCATACTCAATGCTTATGCTCCAAATGTAAGGTTTATGTTGGTGAGTATCTCATTTTAACAATATTGATTCCCTACTAATAGCAACAACTCTGGTTTGTTATGGTTTTTGTTTTAAATTTTGAAATTTTTGAAGTGTGCATAAATATACATGCAGAACAACTCTTAATAAATCCCAAGAAACAAAAAAATCAAACTTTCTAACTTTATTTAGATAATGTCCTTACCTGGCATTTCATATTTTGGTAATGATATTTTTTTATCACGAAAGGGATCCTGAAGACCTAGAAAAGTTAATCCGAAGAAAGCCATTACCTGAGCTTTATGTTTGAGTACTTAGGTTCAACTGTATCCAACTGCAATATTCCATTTCCTGGTTTCTGAACCGTGTTTGCTTTGTTACCATGGTGATATACTGCTGAACTTAGTATATTAGCTAAGAAAGCAGTTTGTGATGTCTTAAGGCAATAGTTGAAAAGATTATGTATTTTGGAACCCCATTCCCCATTGTTATGTCATCAACTTGCACTTATTTGCATACAACATCAAAGGATGAACAAAAATGCTCCCAGCTAAGGTTGATCACATTTGTTTTGCTTGCCAGTTGGGAACACCTAACCGACCTTGGCTGACCCCAGAAAGTTAAGCAAGTTTGGACCCGGTCAGTCACCAGAAGAAAGATTACCAGGAAATTCTAATCATGCAGGCAAGACAAAGCATCTTGGAAAAAGACAGTAGCAACTAGTGTCATAATGTTTCATTGTCAAGGGAATCAAATTTATTTGACTGTATTAAATACGCAATAGCCTGAAAGCTGAATCCAATCAACTTGTTCAGGTGTTTCTGGAGCAATCCTACCAAATCTAATCAGATTTGCCAAAACCAGCTCAGATCTAGGACTCGGCTGCATGCAGCCATCTTCTGATTCTATCACACCAATATCTGCTGGCAAATTTTATTGGAAATCAGGGTCTTTATGTCCATTGAGTTTTAAAAAACCTTTTTAAGAACCAAAAGGTTACAAAATAATCAGCGAGCTCTCATTTTTTCCGAAAGCCATCACTCTGCTAAACAAATAATTCCCTCAACCCTGTTCAACTATTACAAAGTCTGCACTATTACTGTTAATCTTCTCATCACTCCTTATCACCCATCCCCTCCCACTAGTGACTGACTGTAACTTTGTTGCTTGTATCCTTACTATTTATATTGACTGTTTCCTAGTATGATTTGATTGCTGATTGTACCCTATGACTATCATTAAGTGTTGTGCCTGATGATTCTTGATTCTTAACGAATGTATCTTTTCTTTTATGTATAGAGAGCATTTACACCAAGACAAATTCCTTGTGTGTCCAATCACACTTGGCCATTAAAGTATTCTATTCTATTCTATTCTTCATTCCAATATTCTATTCTATTCTATTCATCCCCTCAAAAAACGTTAACGGGGCTGGATGTCAAGCAAAGCATAGAGAATAAGGAAATTGGAGCCAGGGAAAAAAATCTAGATGAATATTGTAACCACGAAGTCTTTAGTTTTGTTTTTTTTCCCTCTCTCTCCTTCTTCCGTACTTGCAGGACCCAAAACAACGGGCAAAAAACACTGATCACCTACAAATGAAGCGGACAAGCCAAAACCGGAAACTCTCTAGGCAGCTTCCGCCCCCCGCTACAAGCTGGGGAGGAAGTGCGCGCGCGGCGGCGGATTTCGACGCGATCACGTGAATGCTGGCCGTCGCGTGCGTGCCTTCTCCGGCGCATGCTCTGTTGTCGACGGCGACGACGGCCATCATGGCGGTGTCTAGCGCGGCGGCTGCGGGAGGTGGAAGACGCTGGTATTTCACCCGTGAGCAGCTCGCTCGGAGTCCTTCCTGGCGGCTAGGACTCGACCCGGACAAGGAGTTATCGTACCGGCAGCAAGCAGCTAACCTGCTTCAGGATATGGGCCAGCGCCTCAACGTGTATCCCTTAGGCAACTAGGCCGCGCCTCAAGCCGGGATTGGGCTGGGGCAGGGTTACGGAAAGAGGACTAGGCCCGCCGGAGGTGCGCGTAAACAACTTTGGGGGGGCCTGTTAGGTTTAGGCTTATGGGGGACGGGGGGGGGGGTGTCGCAGTGTTAAAAGGATATCACGGTCGTCGCTCCTGTAGGCGGGAAGGTGCTTATAATGGCTGGGACGCCTTAGGCCGGACCTTGATTTGGAACCGCCAAAACAGATTAGGTTTACTCGGCGGTTGGGGAATGTTAGACGCACATGTGTTGGATGTCGGCATGCTGTTACGATTTAGGCTGAAGGGAATCTTAATTGGTTCGCAAAAGTACAAGAGACCGGTTAGTAACACGTTACTTGGCCAGGGGCATTTGTCTGCCGTGTTGCATTAATTGGATGGTACGTAATTTCGAAATTTGATCGTGTTTGGGGGTGGGAGAAAAAGTGAACCATCCTTCCCCGTGTGTTTGATTAAAATGTTAGCATTAATTTACTTTTGAGCCTCATTTTTTTTCCAGCCGTATTAGTATTTAACATTTTGGCTTGAATAAATTTTGAAGCCCTTAATACAAAGCTTAGTTCAACTTCTTTAAAGATGCAATTTAGCAGGCTTAATGTGAAAATATTTGCAATATATATACATGTGTGCATGTGTATTTGTATATAATATATATATATATAATTGTAAGATTGACTAAAATATGTAAGGTCTTAAGTCAGTCTCTAATTGTGTAAATCCATGTATAGTTTTACTTAGATATCAGTTCTATTCTTGGCTTAGTTTTAGGAAGTCAACTTTTTTTAATACTTAGCTTTTACATATTTTTTTTCTTTAGAAGAATAGTGCACTATTTAACATGTTCCTTAATGATGAACCACTAGTTCTCAACTGACTATTAATACAGCAATTGTTTATATGCATCGATTCTACATGGTTCAGTCTTTTACCCACTTTCATCGAAATGTAAGTATGTCATCAGTTTGTTTTATCAGCTGGAGTTTTGAATGGATTTATTATATATTTTCTTTTTGGCTAATAGATTAAAGAATATGTGCATAATATGGAAGTAATAGAACTTTAATAGTTGAAGAAAATATACTGTGGAGTTAAGTCTTCAGGTTCCATCAAATTTATGCTTAGATCTACATGCTTATAAGAAGCTTTCAAGGAAACAATTATAAACTGCTACTTTAGACAACAATCGTCAAACAATATGTGGCAAATTTTGAGGCATTATTGATAAAATGCTTGCTAGAACACTGACATGTTAACCAGATGCCTGGCAACCTGGAAGTTTACTTTCTGAGAGAAATATCTTAAACTCTCAACCTTGCAATGGAAAATGATTTGTTTATGGTTTCCCATAAACAGTTTATAACAAACCTACATATTTGGACTTCAGACTTTTAGCTTGATTTGTGCAGATAAGTTACTAAGATTTATTTTGTAAGATCTTATTTTCTTTACTAAGATTTTATTTTGTGATCCTCATGCAATAATCAACATATGCTCACAAAAAATTACAGTGCATTTTTGTAACTTGTCTAAGGAGAAAAAAAGTTTGCAGACCAAAAAGGTGCTAATTTAAATTCAGAGTGAAGAAACATTCCTGCTTCAACTGTTTGCAGACAGTTTTGGTTCTAACATGTATATTTCTTTTCTTTTGCACATTTGAGAGTATTGTGATTTTACTATTTAAGAGATAATATATTTAATACATTTCTTCTCTATAAAGGCTGTGGCACCAGCTGCCCTTTTCCTGGCAGCCAAGGTGGAGGAGCAGCCTCGAAAATTGGAACATGTCATCAAGGTTACTCATGCCTGTCTGCACCCTCTGGAAGCTGCTCCTGATACACGGAGTGAGGTAAGTAGTTAAATTTCTGTGAAAGATATACTGTACACAATAAATCAGAAAAAGAACACATCCTGGCAGTGCAAATCCACCATGCTTCATTTTACTGAGAGTGCTACAGCCACCTTGAAATACAATTGAATAATTTCCAGAATAAGAGTATTTAACAGTTGAATACAGATAAAGAGTTACTGCTCTTGGTACATAGTACAGAAAGCTCTTGGTTTTATAAGCCAAATTGTTGTCTGTCCTGTGTGTTCTGGCCAGTATGTTGATGAAAGCTTGGTTGTAGCACAGCTTGCATTGAGGAATGGATGTTGCCTGCCAGGATCACACACTTATAGCAATATAGAAGTTGATTTGTGAAATCCAGTTGTTTTTACTGTTCAAATAAAAAGATTATTAAGCACATTGTTTCAGTTCTTACCACAGCCCTTCCTCACAGGACCAGCACATCTAACCTTGCCAACAAGGGGGAAGCTTTATTTTAAAGCTAAATTGGAACAAAATGGCAATGTTGAACTTGTGTCACAGGACAATTTCAACAGTAGAAGTATGCAATCAGCAACTTTTCTTATGTGTGCATTTGGTGCTCTTTCCTCTGGAAATGGGACATTTATGCCCACTTTCTCCAGCACAAATATAATAAAGATTCCCTCTTGATGTTTTTGCCTCCTCAAGAGAGTGTTAGAAATATGCAGGCTTAATACAGAGTGCCTCATCACAAGTAACCTGCCTGTCCTCTCAACCCCAGGGTTACCTGCAACAAGCCCAAGACCTGGTCATTCTAGAGAGCATAATACTGCAGACCCTGGGTAAGTTTTCCAAGCGGACGGGCTGCTTCATGAATCTCAGACCCAGGAATGCTCCGCAGAATGGAGAGTCTAACCCAACCCCAGTCTTCTTCACAGCTGACCAATATGGGAAGCCATCAGTCCAAGCGACAGTCCTTGTCATAATGGCCAGTTTATGACTTGTTTATGTTTTGAATGAATATTTTCATACAACTATGAATGTGCAAACAGGATTTTCTTTTTAACAGGATTTATATCCTTTAGGTTCCAGGCATTGTACTCTGGATTGAAGTCTTAGCAGCTTGTCAGTCTAATGTTTCAACTGTATTATTATATCAGTTTGATAATCCAGGATAGGAAATTAATATCCTGATAAATTACTGTACATTATTAATGTTAAACTTTTGCTGCATCTTAAATGTAATTCTTCATTTGAAAGGTTTTTAGCAATTAAAATGGTATTTTTTGCACTTTGATAGTTGATAGGCTTGCCATTATAAATGTTATACATGTGTTCCTACTGTTTACTATTATATGCAAAATGCATTTCTATTACTGTTGGGCAAGACATTTTGGCTTCAATATATAGTGTGTAAGCATGTTAATCCTTGCTGTGAAACATTGTAATGCATGAAATGGGTTAAAGATAATTTGTCATAAATGCTTAACAATT